CGAATAATTTCCCTGCAATCATCGAGGGTCTTCCAAACCTTTGGCGTAATATGCTCATAGCCTCATCGTAGCCCTCTTTTGGCTTCATAAACTTACAACACTGTATAGCTCTTGCAGCATCTCCAGTGCAATATCTCATCAAATACATCAATTTCAATTCATCATTTAATAAAAAACCACTCAACATGATCTCAAACTCCTTTACAAATTGTAAATAATCAGCCGGGTTTCCATCAAAACATCGTGGTTCAAATTTAGGGAGTTTGATGTTCCTATTATCCCTGAACGGCGAAACAGTAACATCAACCATGTCATACTTAACATCAGACACATCGTTACAATTAACAGACAAGTCACAATGACTTACTTTCCTGTTTGCATCCAAGACACTCTGTCCCTTCTTTGACCCAGGCATTGTTGAACTTGACCCAATTCCAAAAAAGTTCCAGATATTGCTTGTTCAAAGAGGACTTGACCGGCACCAGGAAAAATGAACGGCGACTATCCAAACTTTCACCAACTGTTTGAATCCGCCAGATCTGTTTCTATCGTCAGAAACTGTCAATCACGTCTCATAAACCGTTAATGCCCAGCTCTCGCTACGCTCGGGCCCACGCTGTTCCTTGAAGCTTTCAGAAACGCTTAGTAATAACGGACGAATAAACCAAAACACCGATTGGCCGCTTGGGAATTCTTTATTGTAACACCAACATATAAAAAATAAAATATTTCTACTAAGGTCTGTGAACAAATATTACAATAATAAATCACAATATTACTTCTGACGTTGTTTCCTCTTCTTTCTGAACAGCGACCGATGAGACGATGACTGTCGTATTGATGCCTCCGCGAAAATTGGGGAAGTTGATTTTAAGCAAACAACCAAGAATTGATCGTTCAATCTTCAACTCCATTGACAATAACTCTTCTTTAAACTAGACAAGAACGAAATGAAAAATATGAATATCATGTGTTGACATTTCAGTGATTATTATATACTTTTTAACATTTCGTTATACCTAGACTATATGTCATTCTGACTGACCTTCAGCATAGAAGCTTGCACACAAGTGCACTAGTTCAAATTATCACATTTTTATGTAGCATACAAAGGTATAGAAAAAATTAAATGGAGCTCTGATCAGCACAAATGGTAAGGAGGATGGTGGTGTTAAAGAAAAAATATATGGGTTCACTGGATATGTGAGAATACACAGAGTGAATGCATCTTTGTCACTGACAAGGATTTAGTACCACATCTCTACCTAACACTAACGCTCAACCTTAATATTACCCACCATATCGTATTACTTATACAGAAGATAGGGAAAAGACACCTAGAACCATACACCAATGGTATTTTCATATCTGCCAGATTCAATGGTCACTTCTCGCTACCTGTATGGACTATATCATCAGCATACTCTAAGTTGAAGAGACTGTTCCCTGGTAAATCATTCAAGTCAACAGCAGGAAATTTTATTGAAATATATATAATAAAACTGAACTAAAATAAAGACGGCAGCTATAGAAATGAGCCTTGCATTAAATCCTTCTTGGAAATATGAGTTCCCCCATGCTAAGTGAACCGAATGCATTCTGTAGAATTAATGGAATACGCAAAATGATGTGCTGTGTTTTCAAAATCTAGTTAATGTTTCCTTAGTAAAGTGATAAATGAGCACTGTGGTTGTGTGAACTCAATAGACTCTGAACTACTGCCAGTGAAAATGACAACAATCTTCTGAGTTACGGGTCATAGTTTTAGTTCAGTTGCAACATTCAGCAGTTGTTAAATGGCCTCTTGACGCAATCAATTTCATACGGGAAGTGTATAATATTTGGTAAAACGTGCACACTTAATTTTAATACGAAGTCTCCTTGCCGAATGTATTACTGTAAAAGCCTACACAGTTCACAAATCAACTCATAACAGTGAAGTGGCAAAACTTCTGTTTGTCCTTCCTGAACTTAATATAACTCAGTGGTTAGGACTCTCGCCGGCCATGCCCATGATCCCAGGTTCGACCGCCTGCCGACGCACACCTGACATCCATGGTCAGCTTGCAAAATTTGGGCTACCGATATCCATGCTGAAAGTTCCATACGTGTACTAAAAACAGTGTGGAATCAAGTTTCAGTCAAAAATAAAATAATATGTAGAGTCTTGTGAAGTAATTCCTGTGTTATTATGTTATGCAGAGGAGAGGACAAGGCATTCACAGTCTTTTGTTTCATGTGGAATCGCAATGCAACTCAATGCGCAACAGTATTTGGACGAATAAACTGAAAAATAAAGTCTTCCTCACCTGCTGAACAGCTTGTCCTTATTTTCAGACGAGAAAATAATATTCTTTCCAGTATGAGTCCAAGTCACCAGAATATAACAACAATTAAATCTTCCTTCAAAATAAAGGCCACTTCAAACACAAGTTCACAGCAATGCCACATATTACTAACGCTTTTTGTCTAAAAATGAAAAACTAACTGCTATGAGTATCCGAAAACTGAAATTTATGCTGAAATTGAGCTGCAAATGCTAACAACTACCGAACCAATTAAGACGACAGCGTTTCAAAAATAGGCCTAATAAACTAGTATGGTTTTATGAAAATTCAAAAATATACCTTTATATTTTGAACCTCTTACCTTATTTAATCCATCACGTTTCTCAGATATCAACATCAAGCGACATATCCCGATACAATGTAACACAGTCCAATTACATTGTGATGCTGATGTTATGCAGGTCAGAAAAGTTTTGATGCGAAATTTCATTTAAAAGGCATACAAATAGATAATTTGCCACTAAATCAGAATAGCAATTGACAAGGAAGCTTCAATTAGGGGGGAAATGCAATAAAGAAACTACATATTTAGGCGTTCTAGTGAAGTTGAAACGGATAATATGCCTGTGAATGATGAAATATTTTCGATACTGTGAATGTATTTGTTGGAATAAATATGTTGAAAAGTGTTCACTCTATTCATCTATAATACTTGTTATTTCTTGAGTTGAATAGTGATGCCAGTTTAGAAAACGTAATACGAGTCACATGTCTTATGTGTCAACTTGATACGATTATGAGCAATAGTTTGCGCTCGAAACGTCATCAGTTAATACAACCGTACAACACTGTGTGATTTATCAAAATAAAATCTTATCCATAATAGAGTTATACTCTACTACAGTACCCAAGTTTTATACTTATATAAATGTCTTATTTATATATGTCATAATTACACGTGATTGAATTTGGACATGATGGGGCAACATTATCGCTTTTCAGTAACTGTTTCCGCTTGTAAGCTGTAAACAGGCTATATGCATAAAAAAGCCTATGTAGTAAGCTGCAGTGTCGTATGACAACAAAACAATCGACGAAGCTTGGTGGTGTGGTCAACCAATACATAAGTCTAAGTGTTGATGTGGTCATGTAAGAGCCTACTGATAAGAAATAATAACGCAAGAAGAGTAATGTAGTTATCTCTTTATTACTTAATGATTTCGTTTAAGATGGTGGTGTTAAACGGAACATAAGAATAATGGACTATTTGTGTTAAGTGGGGCATACGTTGAATAGGGTACTTGAAGTGGCTAGACTGCCAAAAAATTCGTGTACGTAAGGAACCTACGTTTGCTAGGTTACATTTCGTTCTTACAATACGAACATATGTTCAACGGCTATTTTCTTAACAATCATGCATACGAATATTATACCCATCCGGATTAAACTATAGTCATCATAAAGTTTACTAACCACTCTATCCACTAGATCGGGATCAGATTGCTTCAGTTGGTAGTGGTGTTGGACTAATCTTTTCCGTTTTCATCATCCCCAGGTCCGTTCGGAGAAACTGGATATGGTCTTTTCAGGCAAAGACTGAGATTGTGTTCCTTTGAATACCTTCCGCTCCACTGGAAAATATATGGGGATGTACACACAGCAGGTGAATTGATTTTACCATTGGTGAACAATTCCTTATCTTAGGCACACTGATTGTGTAAAAAAGGGAGAGAACAGTAAGAGTTGATGAAATTCTATATAGTCGTCTATATATTTCATGGCAGATCTGAAAAACAGAACATCTAAAACATCTATCACACTTTCTTCTGTAAAAAGCGAATATTACACAAGTGTCTCTCTTTTCCATCCGTTACAACCAACTGAAAGTAACTAAATCTTCAAACCACATATTTCTTTGATTAAGTTGTTCAGTAGTATTCGTTTTCTCAATAAAATTGGTGGGTGTAAACTGTAGCAGCCCAAAACGAAACCAACCTTAGTGACCAATCATATGCATGATAAGTAGAAGTGCGTAATTTAAAATAAGCGTCTATGTACAAGTAACGGATGCTAAAAATAGTTACATAGGGTAATATACTTGTGTATGTTCCAAGAAAACCTCAAAAAAAAAGGTTTTTTTTTAAATTCATAAAAATTGAGGTTTTTTCTGATTACAATTAAGAAAAAAGATAAAACTGGCAAAAAAAAGGGGAAGGCTTTGGGGTAGAAGGTTTATTTGCCACATTTAAAAAAAGGAGAAACCCTTTTGTTTCAAAGTTACCAAGGGTTTTTTTCATTATTTTTTTAAACTTTTTATTCTTCTTTTGCTTCTGCCGAAGTTGTCCCTGTCAAGGTCATTTTTGCGTTAAAAGGTCGTTTCGGTTTGGGCCGCTATTCTTTAGAGTCACCGAAAACCTCATAATTTCTTACAGGAGTCCTCATAGTCAGGATAAACCGATTTCCGTATGTAAATTCGTCAAGGTCATCAGTCCGTTCATTGGGTAGTTTCGTTTTACGTTTCTATAGTTTAGAGTCACGGGTGCATTCAGTGCATACCACAACTGTGTAAGTTATACGTATATTATTTTGTATCCGGAAGCTGAAAAAAATGATCTCCACCTGATAATCCAAATGTCATTTCAGAGCCCGCCTCAGTAACGTGCACCTTGTATTAGCCGCAGCATTTATGCAAAGGAAAATCTACCAATCACAATGTGCATAAGTGACCTTGAAGTGCTCAGCCTCTCCGTGAGTCAATTTTGCCTGTCTTCTGTCTTCCTCTGTCGTTACACACAAGTTAAAAAGCAGTAAGTGTCAATGTACAACTTTGTTCTCTTACATCTTCTAAATACTTAATATGAAGTCTATATTGGCTATGCAGCATTTTGTCTTACCTTACTGAAACTAGTAAGTCTTTCGGCGAAGTACAAGAATAGCGTATTTGCAAACACTAATTGGTATAACACCAGTTGGTCCTGTACTCGACTGGCAACCTGCATAGTACGGAAGAATTTGTTCTGGGTAATCGGGTTTTATCATTCTTAATGCAATCAACTTAGCCAAGTAGCAAATGAGTCATTTAAAAATTGTCATATCTCGATATATATCCGTTCACAACTAGTCAATCAGAAAGAAATATCTCTTTTTGAACATTTTTATGCTCTAAGTACTGAAGCGAAAACTCAATAGTAGAGACAGTCATTAAATGTGACCGACTAAAGGCATTTACCATCATTGTCATGTAGCACTCATTGTCCACGTTTTAATTCGGCTTTATGTAAAACTGTTTACCAGCTTACTATTCTTTCCACCTGTCAAGAGATTTCTATGAGTGGTATATATCATATACTTTTTTAGTTTATATCTCCATTATTCCTCTGTTTACTACTTTGCTTCCAGTTGTTCAACACGTCTATCACTGATCTCAAACAAGCTCTAGTTTAATGTTGTCAAAATCATAGTGCAAGTCTTTGTTAAGCCTCTCGGTTTGAAATATGTTAGCAAGAGATTGATAATACAGTTCTTAATATTACTTCTTCAGTAATATCTATTCTCTAGTGTCCTACTCAGTAAACGTCAAAGTATGGGAAGAATTCACCTTGTTGTTAGCCACTACTATTTATCATATGGTCAATACATTTTTTAATCCGGTGGATTTGTTTAAAGCTTGGAAATATTGTGTATTTTAAGCTCATTCAATTGCTTTATAATATAGAAGTGATATGCACCCCTTAACTTTCTATTAAGTAGTGTTCACGATTACTTCTATTAATCTTACTCGCATTTTTTCAGATATGATCGTAGGATGTTATTTGTAACAACTGGATCGCTTTTAGCTCTTGGGTTGTTCTTCTTCTTTAAAGGCTTGCGTAGATATTTTCGCTTCGAGGTAAGCAACAAGGTCTTCTTGGGTTCTTACTATTCAGGTTGATAAGAACTCTGAACACTATGGAGGAGAACTAGTTGCAGATGTATTGAAGGTAAACCTTTTTTTGAAGTAATAATTCCTTAGGCTCACAATGTGCCGTTTATTTTCACGCTTATTGGCGGTCATATATCACCAATACTGACAGCAGCTGAAAAGCAAAATATACGAGTGATAGATGTAAGGCATGAAGCTTCAGCCGTTTTTGCCGCTGATGCCGTCTCAAGGCTATCGGGTTCAGTTGGTGTAGCTGTTGTTACTGCAGGTAAGCAGGTGTTTTCCACTGAAGGATTACTGAGTGAACTCGTGAAAACATGGAACGAATGTTCCAACTATCACGATATTTTCTATATAAATTTATCTTAGAAGTTATATATATATATATATATATATAAGGTGTTTGTGAGACCTAAGTGTGCATCATTTGTTAGTAGGAATAGCTTTGTGTAACAATATTATATTGGGACAGGTCTAAATCGTCCCACTTATAATTTTCAACCAAGGTAAGGCAGTCGTAAACAGTAGCAGTTGCAATCTTCATAGAAGCAATAATAATAATCGTAAGTAACATTCTTTATTCGTATGTCAGCATGGAACAACACGCACACCTAATATACTTTGTCGTGTGGCTAGATATCACTCTAAGTTAATGGGGATGTGCATTTTTCATGGCCTTGCTTTTCTAAGTCTTTCTATCCAGAATAGAGAAGTAGCATAACTAGCTTACTTGTCATTTGAGAGGAACTCCTTACTGTTTCAAAGTGTGTAGTATGGTTTTTATTGGTTGCTGTTGTCAAGTTGTAATGTAAAATGTTCTGTGATGCGGTGAAGGATTGGTCTATGCGAACTAAATACAAACTTATTTACACATTTGAAACAAAGCACCGATTTTTGTAATTTAACTCGATTTTTTCTGAAATCTTAAGCATTAGTATTTGTGGCTATTTATTCCATCTCGTTTTTCTGTTTTTGCTTTTTGTACCGTTCAAAAATACGACAGCGTAAAGTATTGCAGATTTTAAAGTCATGTTATACACCCACCTGACCTACTTTTTTAAAAATATGTATTGGTTAGCTTCCTGCATAAGTTCCTTATTGCATCTTCCGAACACTTAGCATCTCAGAGTAGGCTTTATTGTCTAATGAACACTTGCAGAAAATTTTCACGCAATGTAATTAAGAACACATAAATCAGCAAAGTTATCTCTTTTCGTAACGTCAAAGATGTACAGTTACTTATGGGCCTATATACAGTTTTAATTAACAACAAGGATTAGAGATTATTGCCAGTCTCTTTAACTATCGTGGCTTTAGTGTCAGTTTTATTTTGATAATGTATGATAGTGTAGTATCTTAGTTCTTCGTTTTTTATTTCATAACTCAGGTAAGAGCTTACGGAGAGTTGTCATCTAAAGTAGTGACTAGTGGTGTCCATCAGGGATGCCCTGACGACTGTCCCCATTTCTATTTAATTCCATCATAAATGTACTAATGGACTTAACCCTGACTCACTTCAGCAACTCAGGGACTGGCTTGTTGCCATCAGGGAATAATGTCGTTGACTTAGAATATGCACATGATATATTCCTGCTCCTAGGTGAAGACACTGACAAAATGCGGAGTCTTCTGAACATCTTGAGCTGCAATCTGAGAATGTTTGGCATGCGATTCTTTCCACCAATTGTGAGATGATGCTACAGGAATGGACTATATTGACTCGCAGCTTAGAAATAGGGAGTGAAATGGTAGAGTACGTTGACCGCCTCACTTAGTTGGGAAGTACCATCAGCCCCAAAGGGTAGATCTCTGACGAAATCCCAGCATTGATACAGAAGGTTCGTTTCTCATATGCCAATTTATGCTGTCTCTGTCAGACGTGATATTCGACTATCGTCCAAGAGGCGTGTGTGCTGCTCAGGAGTTCGCTCCGTCCTCCTTTATGGCTGTGAAACCTGGCCATTTTAAATGGAAGACATGAGAAGGCTAACTGTTTTTGATCAAAGATATCTGCGTTCTATCTCCCGTGTGAAGTGGTATAATAGGGTGAGCAATACTGAGATTAAGCGTTGAGTGCTTGGTAAGGAGGGGAAATCAATAGACAAGGCTGTGAAGTTACATCGATTGAGACGGTTAGGACATATGTTACGCATACATGCCTAGTCATCGCCTTCCTCAATAGGCAGTGCTAGCTGACAGGTGCGTTCAGGTTGGAAAAGAGGCATTGGTGGTCAAACGAACACGTGGCTTCATCAGTCAACAGTTAGTTTAAGCCACGTTGGGAGGTGTAGACTGGCTTCATGGTTGGAGTCCTCGGGACGGTAAAAACTAATGAAGGCCGAAGACAATTGGTGATATGACTCAAAATCGTTCTTGGTGATGGTGCAGATGCATCCACTCCGTATGACTAATAATACCCAGTAAAACTATTGTTCTTCGATATTACTATTCTTTTTGCCTCATATCTCTGTTTATTATCTCTGTTTTGAATCTCTTTTTACTCTCTTCTCATGCTGTGTGCTAAGTATAGTCTGGCAACTTGAACTACTGCACATCTTTGCAAAGTTCTACGCTGAAACCAATCAGTCAATTTTTAATCGTTTGTTCACTTACTTCTTATCCGTTTTTACTAAAGAATATTAATCACTTAACGTCGTATTATTCACTATTTTTCTCACATTATTTCCCATACACTTTGGCTTATTTTGTTACAAACTGACAATAACTTTTGACCTTTGTTGACAATTAACATTGTATACAAAACCGTAAATAACCGTACAGCTTTGAAATGAAGCTACGAGTTGCGAGTTCTTAATAACACTTCTATAGTACAAACATTATTGCTTTTGTCACTATATGCACAACTTGACAGTTTTCACTCTGTAAAGACTGTACTGGTAATATTTTATCATGCCTTGGGTTATGTCAGATATCTTGGAAATTTGTGTCTAAGTGTTGGCATGTAGACGGTTGTAATAATGTTGGTGAATAGCTATATTTTTCAGGTAAATTCATTTTGGTTGTTGACGTAGTGTCATCAATCGCTGGCGTCAAACTATGGGAATTTGACCTGGGTTCTGTGAGTTTTGAAACACATAGCTTACTGACTGAGCAAAAGTTTATTTACTAGGTTATAAACACTCAATAATCCTGGACTTGTAATGTTATGCAGATAATGAAATCACGTTAAAGCGAGTTTAAGATTAAAGACATATCTTGAAAGTTGAGTGCCTAGTCCGATAATATACACACCTATTTTCATATATATATATATATATATATATATATATATATAGCTGTGTTGTTAATTTTTACGGGATGGGGTTGCTAGCTTCATGCCCACTCTTTCCTTACTAATCTTATTACTGGCTTAGTGGGGTAACGGAGTGCAGCGGCTGGGGGTCGAGCCCTGAATCGCCTGCATGGTTGGCGAGCATTCTACCGTTGTGCCACCGATAAATATATATATATATATATACATAATTTTTGGAATCCCGCTCATTTAATCAGATGTTTTCTTACTCTTTCATTTATATGCTTTTTAGGACCTGGTCTTACAAACACTGTGACAGCAGTGAAAAATGCACAGATGGCTGAATCTCCCGTGGTTTTGTTAGCTGGGGCCGCCTCCGGTCTTTTGCGAGGTCGTGGATCTCTTCAAGACATTGATCAGCTAACTCTGTTTCGTCCACTTTGTAAACTGTGCAAACGTGTTAAAGCTGTCAGAGACATTATTCCTGTTCTTTGTGAGGCATTTTGTGTTGCTCAATCAGATACTCCTGGTAAACTATTGAGTTTTCTTTTTAGTCATTTATATTGACTTTAATAAAGAAATTGTCACTATGTTCAAAATATTGATTACAAAAGTGTTATAATTTAATACAACTTTAGGGGGGGGGTTCAGTCAAGCAATCTTATATTAAGCTGAGGCATGCTATTAGAGAAGCAGTTACAGATACACGTCACTGTACTTGTCATAAAGTTAATGTATGAGAAAAACTTTGGCACTGTGATCAAATGCAATTTCATATTGCACTCCTATATGACCAAGCATTCAGTGTTGCTACAGGATGATTTAATGAGCATGTTTTGAACATAATTCATTGTTTTGAATTATATCTGGGTTATTTTTTCAACACTAACTGCTGGATAAGACTAACACTTTAAAACTACCAATAAGTTTTACTAAAATTCCACGAGAATTAAAATTGGCAGTTAGTATTATTAGTAGGTGTATCTTGAGGCTACTGTATCAAGAACACAGTGTAAAATACTACTGAAATAAACATGTTTATGAAAATATTAAGGGATAAGTAACTCACTGATAATAATAATAACAGCTTTGTTCCAAACAGTATTTGTGGTAGAGGTATGGAATTTTCAGCGTGCATTACAATATATTCCATCTAATTACCTCATAAATTTTATAATATTTTAAAATCATAAAGCAACACACCCCAAAAAAGATAAGTAAAAAAAGAAATAAAAGCAACAGCGTTGCGTTTACATTTTAAACAATGCACCACAGGATATGAAATATAAAATTGGTGTGTAATAGAAGATGAGAACAACAGTGTAATAGTAGCGAGGAAAGGAAAACAAAAACTAATGGGGCTATTTGTTAGAGTGCCGCAGTAAATTGATCGTGTCATACCTAACGGATTTCTCATCACATAACAGCTGTGCCAGATATGGTATTGTGGCGTTTTTGTACTTGGTAGTCCTAGCATATAGCCTCCTATAGCTGCTTCCAGTTCTACCAGATAAAATGCAAGGAGAGAGCTGTGTATAGAGAGGATGCTCGGGGTCTGACAATATTGTGTTCGCTAGTTTCTTACATGACATTATATGTCTATCCACAATAGTGTTAACCAGTTGGTTTAACGATATCCCACTTGCCCTACTAACAGCTTTTAGTGCCCTTCTCAGCAAAGGAAAGTCTTTCTTAAGTAGTCCAGGAAAGATTAGTGGGGAGCAGTAAAGGGGGATGGGTGGAATACAAGAATTGACAAAGTCAGAAAGCAAAGACTGCTTTATGCCAGATTGCCTAAATTTCCTAACGTAGAACGTTAAGCAAAACATCTTTCTAGTAACTAGCAAGATGTGGGAGAACCAGGAAAGATCGATGGAAAAACTCAGGCCAAGGTACTTGACATTAGATGTATTTTCAACCTCTATGCCGTCAATGATAGTGGGGCCATGAGAGCTAACTAGTTGTTGTAGGTCACGTTTACGTCTGAAAGTGAAATTGACTACCTAACATTTAGACGGATTTAGCTTAAGACCGTTTGAAGAGGACCACTGACTAATATCCAACAGAAAGTTATTTAATTTGGAACAATCTGACTGTAGGATATTGATTTATCTATGAATTAGACATGATTCCCCTTGAATGGAACCCTAGTGGTAGGCGGCGACATTCTGAGCGTCCGATAGAGTGACACTAAGAAGTTCACGTGAAAAAGAAATGAAAGCTTGTAGGCAGTTGTGTAAAGCCAGTTCTATTCGGAACACAAGAAATATTAGTAGTAGCAATTAATTATTATTATTCCGGATTATGCGCACCGTTAGGGTATATTCTGTAAATTTGTAACTCTGTTGTAGTTTACTGTCACTCAGAATAATAATAAATTTTCAGAGTTTTGGAGAAAAAAAAATATTTTCCATTGTGATCAGTCACAGTGTCGGCTGACACTGTCACTTCATAAATAATCGTAAAAAGGATAATGGGAATTAAAGTAACGGTTTTTATTCCTACCTCACTTATAGAGTTTATCTCATGTGAGTAAAATCATTATTCACAAAATTTATTTACCTTTACCTTGTCATACCGAAAGATGGATGCATAATCTTCATTTATTTTTTGTTTTATTCAATTACAAATACTGTTTTCATGTTGTTGTTTTTTGTTTTACAGGACCAGTCTTAGTTGAATTACCAATCGATATATTATATCCATATAAACTTGTTGAGAAGCATACTCAGGAATCTAAGAAACCGAATTCCATAAGACAAAAAATTACAAATTGGTGAGTACAGTTTATCTATGCTTGTTTCAAAAAAGAAACAAAAAAACATTGGAAAAATAGCTTGTACATGGCGTCACTTCCGTAAACTAATAAATTTAATACAAAATATTCAGATTTTAGTTGACAATCCCAACTTCTGGGAGTTACTGTCATTTTCCGTGGTGGAATGCTGTTCGTCGAATACGCTCCTTGTTTGGGTTCAATTCCCAACAGACGCACTCCTAAACTTCGCTTAACCAGTAGTAAGCCGAGTAAAGGGGGAATTGGTTACAGTGAGCATGCTCACTGGTGACTGGTCCTACTCGGATAAGTAGTTAGCTGGGGTTCCAGTGGGAAGTCGTGGACAGTGGGGTGTGAGGACAAATACTCGCCGAAGACATTGGCTAGCGGTCGCGCTATGTCGTGAATTGGCAGAAGTTAGAATTCGTAGGCCATTGGATCGGGTCCCAGTGGCTTAATGGTATACGAGCTCGTCTTGTAACCGGAAGGTCCTGGGTTCAAACCCGGTGGGTTCGTACTGATGAAGAGTCTTAAACTAGGACGAAACAACTGTCCAGTACTCCCAGGTTTTCCAGTGACTCTAACCAATGCCAGCTCACGATGAAATCCTGTAACCAATCAACTAAATCCCTAGAAACCAATACTTAAAGAGGTAATGTTGGGTGTGAGCCTAGCAATCCCATCCTCGCATAAAAACATTACAGTTATTGAAAATTCGGAGTACAAGCTTTCAGCTCTATATCTCACACATAACACGAAGGAATATATATATATATATATATATATATATATATATATATATATATATATATATTATATATATTATGAATTGTATTAATCAGTTTAGGAGTGTATATAATACTTGAAGCGCTCTAATACTTTTCAACGGTGTTTGTTTGTTGTTCACGTCGTTTCGTTAATAGCTTTATCGATGACTGACAGTTTAAGGCATGCAGCTAGTCCATTCACATACATTAGAATGAATATGTGGAGATTCTAATTCACTTAGAATCACATTTTAAGGAAGTAATTTGACAAAATACTTTATGCCTTCAACCTTATTAACAGCTGGAAGAATTGACATTGTCTAGTGGATAACAGAGATATTCATTTTTTTCACCAATACTTTAAATTGATGTTGGCTATATTATTTTAATTATTGTATGTACAGGGGTTTAGTTATGTACTTTAGGTTCGAGTTTCAATAAAAAATACCGGTACTTAGGTGTTGATTTGCAGGAATTTGATTGGTTTCAGGATTTCATCATGAGCTCACATCGGTTAGAGAAGCATTGGAATACCTAGGGAGTACTGGACAGCTGTTTCTTCCTAGTTTGGGACTCATCGGCAGCACACACCCACCCACCGAGGTTCGAACCCAGAGCCTTCTGTTTACAAAGCGAGCTCATAGACCACTAACCCACTGGGACCCGGTCCAGCCAATATCAATCTGAGGCTCACTAGCGACTGGTCCTATATAGGTAGATGGTTTCCTGGGTTTAGGTGAGAAATCGTAACCAATTAGGGTACAACAGGTTGGGTGTGAGGCCAAATACTCGCCGATGACATTATCCAGTGGTTGTGCTATATCGTGAATTGGCAAAGTTGAAATTCATGGTCTGGTCATTGGATCGGGTCCTAGTGGCTTAATGGTCTATGGGCTTGTAACCGGAAGGTCCTGAGTTCAAACCCCGGTGGGTTCGTACCGATGAAGAGTCTTAAACGAGGACGAAACCGCCGTCAAGTACTCCCAGGTTTTCCAATGGTTCTCTAATCGATATCAGCTCATGATGAAATCTTGAAATACCGATGCGTTTGTATGCTACTTATACCCAATCGCCAAATGTCAACCACTATCATATATTATCAGATTGAATTACTATTGCCTGATAACTTTTAGAGGCGTGTTAAACCACTTTTGAATTCTGTATTGTATGACGTGATGATCACTTCAGATGCAATTCAGGTAATACTTACGAAACTAACAAAATTAAAACCTCTCACTGTAACTACCTTTTAACTCTAATGTTTTCTTAACAGTGGTTTCTCAATTCTCGTTATTTATTGGTATTGCACTCCAAAAAAAACTTACATATTCGTGTGAGACGGTTAACGTGCCGCTGAGATAAATCAGAGTTCTAATACTACTTAAATGTAGTGCTAAATAAGAAATCATAGTTTTATTAAGAAAGACTACCTACATTTCTTTGTGATTTTTGGTACAGCGGATGGAATTCCTCAATCGAAAGCTACCTGATTAGTTAAAACCCTTTGAGTTTTATATTTCACATGATGACAGTCAAAGTGTGCATGTAAATATTTTGATGAAACATTTTAGCACACTAAGCTTCATTCACCTTCCCTTCTCTCACACATGATTATTGATATTTTTCAGGTACCTACAGTTTTACTTACTAAACTTATTCGCTACTGGTTTCACATCAAAATCAGAATCTCCAGACTCCGGAAGTTTTAGTTCCATTGTAGTTAAACCACCGAAAATTCTTCTCCCTACGAAAAGACAGATCAACAAATTAGTAAAGCTTATCAAGGATTCTGAGAAACCAATACTGTTAATTGGAAGTCAGGCTGTTTTACCTCCAGTCTCGGCTAAGGAAACTGCTGCTAATGTTAATGTAAGTTAATCATTTTTAACGTGTTTTTTTTTAAATATTTTTTATGAAAATAGGAACAGTGGTACTTCTTTTTCATCATATTTATCCTATGTAGAATAATGAAGTGAGTTAATTGTATGCATGAAAAACTTATTGTAAAGCGTTATTTTATAGATAAAGTACTACTCCAACCAATTCAACCTGTGCGTCGGTGGCACAGCGGTTAGCATGCTCGCCGACCATGCACATGGTCCGGGGTTTGATCCCCGGCCGACGCACTCATTTACCCAGTAATAAGATTGGTAAATAGGGAAGGTTGGGCATGAGGCTAGCAACCCCATCCTGTAAAAATAAACACTGCTACAGAAACTTCAAGCCTCCAGCTTGATGCCCTATGTTCCACTGGGGAATGTGAAGGAAATAAAAAAACTCGGTAATATCACCAGCCTTCACACGGTCGATAAGTGCGGTTCTTAGCCTAGTACAGGAAAGATATGCTCTGGATATTTGAGCTTAAACTTAACTTGGCCATGGATAGATTTGCCCAAGCAATAGAAATATATATATATATATTTCATACATTTATTCCTCTTAATGAATTTGAATAAAGCGAGAACTAGGTTTTTTGCAGAATAAAATGGTACCATCATTTATTTCGTTGCCTTCTCATCAGCTGCTTACAGGCCACAGTCATTACTAAGTATATCTACAGAAACAATTTTAACGTACTTTATTTATTATTATTGTTCCCTTGGGTTCCTAAAGGAACATAGGGCTTCAACTGCACGTCTCCACTTGCTTCTGTCTTTTGCTGTAATTTTCATCTGCATCCATCTTAGTCCATACTGTTTCAGCTCCTCTTCACACGATCTCCTCCATGTCACCCTTGCACTGACGACCCACTCGCTGCTTCCCTTTCGGGTTCCACTCGAGGGCTTGACGCGCGATGTCACCCAGCGACCTCCTCAGCGAGTGTCCAATCCATCTCCACTTTCTCCTGCATTTTTGTTGGTTGGCGATTGGTTCTTCTTTTGTTTGTTTGTTCCCATAGTTTCTTGTTGGTGATTCTTTCTTTCTTTCTGATCTTCAGTATAGAGCGAAGACAGTTATTGATGATGAAGGTCTGTAACAGGCTGTTGGAAATATTCTTTGTGACCCGCCCGCCAAGTTTCTGATCCGTATAAAAGAACTGACTTGACGTTTTTTGTATTGAAAATCCTATCGAATTTTGTTGTTGATGCTGAGTGACGAAGATTTCCAGATTGGTTTCAGGTTGATAAATGTGTTTCCCGCTTGCCTTCCCAATTCTCGACTTGACATCCTCGTCCGTGTTGACTGCCTGTAGTTGAGACAATGCTACCTAGATAAGTGAATGAAGTAACCTCTTTCAAATCCCCATTGATGGTGATTGGCGATGGATGTTGCTGCTTGTTGTTGTTGTTGTTGGTTGGTTATTTTCATCACCTCCGTCTTGTCTATGTTCACTTGGAGTCCTGTCTTCGCTGGCTGCTTCTTCAACTAGTTTGTCAGTTTTCGCTTGTAAGTCTTCGATTTTGTGACAGTGACATCAAACATAAATCATCCACGCGCGAAATCCAGGTCTTCTAGGTTCTTCACGTCGGTCCAGGATTAACGTACTTGCACAGAGTTTATTTTAAACAAAAATCAGTCGATCAATGTATGCATACAGTTGTTATATATATATATATATATATATATATATATATATATATATATATATATAATATTAAACACTATCCTGAACAATAGTGATCATGCATCACGTGTTCGGACGAAAGACAGATGAAAATATCCAGTTACCGGGGCAAACAAAGACTGATGACTGTTTTTTTCTGAACTCACAAATCAGGCTTCAGGCGCTTGATGGAAATGACGGCCTCAGCAAACTTGAGGAGAATTGAGCTCTTTTGCCTACTGATAATTTTGAACGACTTCGCGAAGTCCACCTCATGGCCCGTATCAAGAAGATGCCTGGCGATGGCACTGTTTAAAGCATTTGTTCCCTTTAGACATAAGCTTTTTGGTACATGTTCAGAAAATCATATATATATATATATATATAAGGTGAAGACAACATAGCTATAACTTCATTCTTATATTACATTTTTATTTCTGTTTTAAGCGAAAATCAAAATTTTCCCTGTAGAATATACCTGGTTTCTTCCATACATGTACTGTTTGCGTTTCTATATTTCTAATTGTTAGCATTCTGCTATATTTGGATTTCGAAGGTTACCTGAATAAAATTCATTTGTGGTGTGACATCTATTGACTACTACTGTTATTGTTATTTTGTATTACTTTAACTTGTCTCTGAATATACAACCTCTGTAACAACACGAAGAATAAAGTTTCAGGATATGATTCTTCGTACTGAAATATACTCTTTCTTTCTTTCAGAGCTTACGTATACCTGCTTACATGTCTGGTATGGCTCGTGGTCTTCTTGGTCGTGACAATGAACTTGCATTTCGTCATGCGCGTCGTACTGCTCTACGTGAAGCTGATTTGATTATTTTAGCAGGTATACATTTTTTTCGACTAATTAACTTCTCAACTCCTTATCGCGTTTGATAATAAGTTATGGTAAAGTTAAGCAAGTGCACTTCATCACAATTGTGGGACTCTGCAGCTGGATGTTTTCTTAATCTCAATTTTCTCAAAAACAGCGTCAAATTCGCTAACAAACAATTAAACTCCTGCAACGCCTACAACGCGTATCCACAATACTGAAGGAAGTCATGTCCATTCTGAGATTCGAACCAGTGTCATCGTCCAGTGCTGCAGTCAAAGATACTTACTACCTTTGAGCTTCTCAGACTCGTGGTTGACACCTCTCTCCTAAACTCGACAGATAAAATTCGGTCTGTAGCAAGCAAAGGACTAGACGCATGACACGAGTTAGTCTCCAATGAAGAAACAAACAGTATACCGATAATATATATCCAACTTATTTGATACCATCTTCTAATGATTCATTTTTCAAATTATCTGTCTGTCTGTTTTCGACATAGAACTATACACAAATGTGCGGAAGTTCAAGTCGCCACACTTCGTGTAGCACGCGAAGCAAGAGAAGAAAGTACAAGAAAAGCATAATAGAAACAGTGAGCAGAGGTGTGAGACAAAGGAGTAATAACGAAGAACAAAACAGTTTCATTGGAGATCATAAGTCACAAGGAATGGATGCATCTGCGCCACTGAGAACGATTTTGTACACTTATGGTACACCTTACTTTTAAGTAATTTCTAGAGAATAATATATGGGATCCTGATGCCAGTATACATTCCAGATATGTAATGGACAAATAAAGTTTACTGTTTGCATCAATCACGCATTAAGGAATAATAAAGAGATATTTTTGGATATCATGCGTTCTTAATTTGCATTCCCCTTTTTTCAACTTGGAAATGAATTCAAAATCATTTTTGTACTGATGTACTGCTGCTACTAGAATTAGTAGTTTGATATTGAGTAGCACCGGACATACTTAAAACTGGAGAAAGTGGTGTTATAGTTTAAAAACTTTAGACAAAGCCCGTACTCATGATGTTTTACCCTCCCCCCCCCCCGCCACAAGGGTTTATAACAAAGTTGTGGAAGGCTGTCTCATTCCCTTAAGAATGCTTAATAACCATTTTGTTTTTCTCTCGAAATTCCCCGTCAAATCTAAAAAAATGTTTTTGACTACAGTTGAAATGCAACTCTTAACAATCAATGTCTATCGTTTTCTAGCTGACCAATTTTCATTACCAGAAAGAAAGAAAGAGAGAAATTATCAAGCCGTGTCGTTCCTGTCTGCATTTACACGTTCATCGTCTTAGAGCGGTAGTATAATTACACACAGAAAACAACGAGATGACAACTAGGTAGAGCTTCAATAAACCAATATAAGCTCAGTTTTGTCACATTTCACAGACAGCGGTCAGGTCAAATAGCAGACGGAATCAACTTCTTCAAGAGTATTCAAAGCATTCCAGTGAATTTTGAGAATAGCATTAAAATTAGCTTATAATTCATCATAGCTGAAGCTATAGGAATGTAACAACAAATACGTAAAATCTGTTTCCATAAGTGTATTATTCAACCTCTGCTTGCCATTTGTTCAAGCTTAATGTACAATTTTGTTATTCAATGTTTCTAACCATTTCAGATGTCTATTATATTTGTTCACCTTTCGATTAACCTTCGTTTTTACACAAGTTTCGATTTTATAAGTCATTGATTGACCTGAATTAACTATTAAGATAACATGAACATTCTGCTTTTATTATTGGTTACCACAATGTGTAACAACACTATCTTCACATTTAGGTTGTTATTGATACTAATATTGACACCATTAGTGCCATCCATTATCATTAGTATTTATTATCTAATTTACATTTGTCACTGATCTACAATTAACTAGAGATTTCAAATGTATGTAGAGCTATGGACATTACTAATTAGGATATAGGCTGCAAAAAGTTTAATTGAAAACACTATTGTTCGCTTGCATGTCTTGTTCTAGCTCTGCAACGACACCTCTCCTATCCGTGCCACTCTCTCCAACAATCTGCAGTGAAGTTTCGGTAGCAGTGATGTTTATTTTTAAGTTGGCAGAAAACCGAAGGCAATGGAGACGCGCGGCTGAAGCCCTATGTTCCTCTAGGGATTAAAGGATATAATAATAATAATATACACAATATAAGCAAATACGTATTTTCAGTGAATTGCAATCAGACTTTACAGTTACATAATAAAATTATTGGTCATAGACATTTGAAAGAATATAGTTCAGTAAAACCAAAGATCAAGGATGTGAATTAGTGGAAGATAACAGAGGTAATAATAATAAGTTCATTCACTGTTCAACAACATCAACTTCAAATTGAAGTATGCGCTGAAGATGTCACCCAGTAGGATGATGAAAACTTCGCAAATTAACCATCCAGCTCAGAGAACAAAACCACATCAAAAACTGTTCAACATCGTTAGGTAAAGGAATCGTAAAATCAGCCAGAGTTCCATATATTGGCACACTTTGTGGATACGGAGCACTAGATTGATAAAAATTCAGTCTTTACAAGTCGATCCAAGGTATCACCTCAGTTGCCTAAGTTTTTATGCCTTCGATTGTTAAGCATAGCTGAGGAAGGTGCTATTATAACTTTTAAACTCATTCTCTGCGTTCAGAAAGAGTTTGCTTAACCCATCACTCCCCCATGACCTTCCATCTCCACGTGAGTTTGTTTGTATCATAGTATTGGATTGGGTAGAGCACGTTGACCGCTTCACTTATTTGGGAAGTACCATCAGCCAACGCCGACGGGTTGATCTCTGACGAAATCCCAGCATGGATACAGAGGGCTAGTTTCGCATATGCCAATTTATGCAGTCTCTGGCGTGACCAAAGGACGGGTGTACTGCTCACCAATCCGTTCCGTCCTCCTCTATGGCTGTGAAATCTGGCCACTGAGAGTAGAAGGCATGAAAAGATTAGCTGTCTTTGATCATAGGCGCTTGCGTTCTATCACCCGTGTGAAGTATAATAAGATGAGCAATATTTAGGTTAGGCGTCTAGTTCTAGGTAATCAGGGAAAATCAATGAACGAGATTATGAAGTTACATAGACTGAGATGGTTGGGATATGTGTGACGTATGCCTAATCATCGCCTTCCTCGACAATGGGCAATGTTAGCTGATATAGGGTCAGACTGGAAAAGAGCTAGCGGAGCTCAAACAAAAACATGGCACCAGTCAATGAAATCTACAACAGTTAGTCTAAGTCACGTATGAAGGTGTAGACTGGCTTCCTGGTTGGCACCCTCGGGATGGTAAAATCCACTGGTTGGAAACAATTGGTGATATGGCTGAAAATCGTTCTCAATGGCTGGCTGGCGCAGATGCATCCACTCCTTTTGACTTATGATTTCCAATGAAACTGTTTTGTTCTTCGTTACTACTATTCCTTTGTCTCTCACCTCTGTTTACTGTCTCTGTTATACATTTATTCTACTTTTTTCTGTTCTTTGTGTGCTACAAGGAGGGAATGTGACGACTTGAACTGCCGCACATATGTGAAAAGTTCTATGTCGAAAACAGACAGACAGACCACCTTCACGTAGAGCAGTTATCTCTCCCTGTTATATCAGATACTTGTAAACATTTGCAATTGATAGTGTTCTCTGAGCTCCTTGGTTTAATTGTGGAGCTTTCATCGTCTTCCTGGATGACATCTTCAGCGCAGTATTTAGGATAAAGTGAAATGATTTAAATTTCTTCATGAGTCTCCCGGTAACCATCTTTAGATGTGTATTGACCGTTTTCTATTGATTGGGATTTTAAACTTTCTGATCACCTGATTTACTTTTTATTAGTTGGTATATTTCATCTATATTAACGTGTTTATTAATTGCGTTTTCATTTGAGTACCAGGCTTCTAGGAATTCCCTGGCACATTTGGTGTTTCCTGTGTTTAATATTTTGACATTATCCCAATCAAATTGATGTCCATAATCGTCTGTATGCATTGATACTAAAGAATTTATATCATGTCTTTTCACGGCTAATTTGTTTTCCTGGATTCTTATTCGAAGGGGACGCCCACTTTGGCCGATGTAATATTTGTTACAGTTCATACAATTTATTTTGTAAATGGTGTTAATTTTATCTTCCTTTTTTTATCGGATCTTTTGGTTTGCATAAGATTGAATTTAGCGATTCAGCTGGTTTGTGTGCTACATCTATATCAAACGGTTTCATTATTCTAGCCATTATTTCAGAGATGTTTCTGATGTATGGTAGGATGAATTTCTTTTTGGTCTTTGGTGATGGTTCTTTGTTGGTGCTTTCATTCGATATTTAACACTTTTTGATGACATTTTTTGGATAACCATTCTTCTTGAACACCGTTTGTTAGTATTTTTCTTCCATTCTTTTCAACCCTGGAGTGCTACAGTATATTTGAATTCTTTTAAACAATGTCTGTCTGCACATAGTTTCTTTTTTAAGTAATTGGATTATTCTTACCCTAGTTGAGTATTCGATCTGTGTGCGTTGATTTTCTACATACTTGTGTTTCTAAATTTCCTCTGTTGGTTCTCCTGATTAAGGCATCTAAAATTGTGATTTTGTTATCTAACTCTTCTTCTCTTGTGAATTTGATGTCTTCAAATATGTTGTTTATTAATTTGTGGGAATATTCTAAATGATTTCTCTTAATTATTACAAATGTATCATCAACATAACGTACCCAGATTTCGGTTTAATTATAGGTAGAGCTATTAATTCTAATCTTTGCATAACAGCTTCAGCTATTAATCCTGATATGGGCGATTCCATTAGTGTTCCCTTTATTTGCTCATATATTTGAGTATTGAATTGGAACTATGTTGTAAGGCATAATTCTCTAAGTTCTGTCCAAGTTGAACATTGCGTTTTTATGTTTTCATCACTATAGAGTAATTGTTGCATAGTTTCTGTTGCTAGTTTTGGACTAATTGAAGTATATAATGCTGTGACATCAAAGGACACCATTATTTCATTGTCTTCTACCTGAATGTTTTTGATTTTCTCTAAAAATTGGATTGACGAATTGATAGAATGGTCGCATGATTCTGTTAGGTAATTTAACTTCCTGAAAAGTTCTTTAGATAGATTATATGTTGGTGTTCCTGGAAGCGAAACGATTGGTCGTAAGGGGATGTTTGGTTTGTGTAGTTTTGGTCTACCATAAAATCGAGGTAAAATGGGTCCGTTAGATCTCATTCGCTATTGATCTTGTTCTGTAATTTGTCCTGATTTCGTTAGTTTATTTAATGTTGTTCTGATTTTGTTATCGAATGTTTGTATAGGGTTTTTGTCAACCGTTGATATACATTATTATCTTTGAGTAAATCCTCTGCTTCCTAACCGCTGTGCCACCGAAAAATAATGCAGAATTTACTAACTTATAGGTTCCACAACCGGTCAGGGTAACAATAGTGGCTGGATCTGTTTCTCTTTCACACCGTGCAGCTCCGGTTGTTTTAAGTATATTGCAATGGCCTGTGCTGTTTGGAGTATTCGGTATCTGGAGGCTTTTGACAGTTTATATGATAACCGATAGATTACAGAAAAAGGTTGTTTAATACTAGCCTTATGACCAGTTCTAACCAGTTCCAATATCGAACTGTTGATTCATTTTATTACTTTTCAGCAAATTCGTTCACTTAGCTGCACAATCACAGTTATGTATACTTATTTTGTGTGTGTGTATGTGTGTACATTGGATTTGTCAGATAAGAATAAAAATAAGTTCGTGTTATTGTTGTCAAGATACTTCAAAAATGTGATGGGTAATCAAAACTGTAACCTGGATTAGGGGTGAAGATTAGTAACAGGGTAGTGGTGATTTGTCGTCAAAACCATATTTTATTAACACATAAAAGAAGTTTAATAAGCGTGTTAAGAATGTACTCACTCACTCACTCATTAGTGGTTTGTGCAGAATAATATGGTACCATAATTCACTTCGTTGGCTTCTCATCAGCTGCTGCTTACAGCTCGCAAATTTTACATGTTGTCAGTTGACAGAAAGTTCCACAATTAGTAAACAGTGCTCAGAAAATTCCGCTTATATAGTTTTTACACAGGCAGTCCAAGTTTAAACAAAATAAATGTATGCATACAATGGTAAAGGAGTTACGTAATAAATATGAGATGTGCGTTAGATGCATAGTGACTAATAAATTAGGTAACAATGTTCTGAGTTCAACTCAAATCATAGAAACAAGAGACCAGAAAAATTACAGATTATAAAAAAAGAAGAGGGGTGAGGTTAATGACAAAGATTACGTAATCAGATGAAAGAAAAAAGGCATCCAGTTACAAAGGCAAGGAAGGATGAATAACTGCTTCTTTCTGAACACATAAATCTGGTTTCAAGCGTTTGATAGAAATTGCTTCGGCAAACTTGAGGAGATGTCTGGTCATGAGGTGGAAATCGAGAAATCCTTCAAAATTATCAATAGACAAAGGAGATCCATTCCCTTCAAGTTTGCCGAAGCAATGTACACAGACATTCAAAAATAATTATGTATAATTATGATTGTGCAGCTTGGTGAATGAATTCACCGAAAAGAGCCTCTTTGCTGAACTACCTGTTTTGTTTTCATTAATGTCTGGATTGCAATTATTCATAATTGTACTACACCTTTATATATCCACACTAGTAGGTGTTCGCGAGCAGGGAAAACTAAGTTCCTAGAGCAACAGTCTGTATAACTGGCTCTATAGAAGCAGTTTAATAAATAGATGTAGGTTCCTTTGAAGAATTACTAATTTCCTGTATGAAAAAAACCTTTAGTAGACGGTGCAGAATTCACAAAATTATTGATGCATCATATTATCGCAAAACTACTTTTGTTTCTTCTTTTGCCCTTGCATTTCCCACATTGCACTAATACCATTGTTTCCATCGGCCACATGCTTATTATTTTGTCTTCCCTTCCCTTTATGTTTGGTAGGTGCAATTTGTGATTTTCGTCTGGACTATGGTCGTGTGTTAAATCGTAAAGCTAAAATTGTTGTCATCAATCGAAACAGAAAGAATATTGAACTTGTAAGTTATTTGAATAGAATACTAATAATGATAATAATTTCTACTTTCACAACTTTGATAGCTTACCAGCATGACATTTTTACCTTGTCCTTTATTAGATAGGACTTCAGGGGAACATAGATAAAACAGAGGTGATGAACATTCCTGGCCAACACCAACAGCCACAACAACAACAGACAACAATCAGCCACATAAATGGGAAGCATCGTTTCAACTACGAGTGGAACTGACAAGGATATCAAAGCCAGAATCGGAAGAGCAAGACAAGCTTTCATTAATCTCAAGTCTGTGTGGAGGTCAACAGCACTCTTCACCATCAAAAATAAGATCCGGATCTTCAACTCCAATGTGAAGTCAGTCAGTGCTACTATACGGATGGATCAGAGACTTGGCCAGCGCGTCATAAAGAGCATCTCAAACAAACTACAGACCTTCATTAACAGTTGTCTTCGCTCAATACCACTCAAGATCAGATGGCCGGTCAGAAAAGATCAGAAACAGGGATCTCTGGTAATGAGAGAACCAACTCAGCAGGAACCGATTGTGAAACAAATAGGCAGTAAGAAATGGTGATGGGTTGGCTGGCCATACTCTGAGGAAACCATCAAGTGACATCACTAGACAAGCCATAGCTCGAGTGGAACCCGAAAGGGAAGTGGCGAGTTGGTTGTCAGTGTGAGGGTGACTTGGAGGAGGTCATGTGAAGAGGAGATGAAAGCATGTGGGGAGAATTGGAGCGCGGTGAAAAAGTCGGCAGAAAACTGAAGGCAATGGAGATGGGCAGCTGAAGCCCTATGTTCCTCTAGGAATTAAAGAATATAACAATAATAAATAATAATAATCATATAATAAACACTATTAGTTTAGGGAATTCAATAGGTGTTTCTGCCAATATATTTCTTAGTGTATTATCTTCTTATCTACTTCTATTGATTTCTAGTACTTGTGTTTAGTTAATTTTTCTGTCCACAAAACTATCATTAGTTCCTTCTATCTTTGGCTCTACACATATGCACACATGAATAAAATAGTAATTTATACCAAAAGGCACACCTGTAGGTTGCTGTTATTAAATGGTATTCTGAATCTGGTAACTTCCAATTTCAGTTCATCATATTTTGTACTTCATTATTAGTATTTATCCATTAGCTTTCCATATTTTAATTATGTGTTGATGTTAACTGAATGCCTCCTTATTGTGTGTAAAATTCAATTGGAACTAGTTAAAGACAAATAAACTTTGACTATGACTTTTTTTTAATTCTTGTGCAATTAATAAATCTGTGCACTTTTCAAACTTATTTTCACAGAATTCTGACTATTTTTGGAGACCGTATTTAACCATTCAAGCTGATGTGGGTACAACACTGAAAAATTTATCTATTGAGCTTAGAAATCAAAGAGTTTCGACTGATTATAGTTTCACCGAATGGATAGATGTTTTAAGATCACGTGAAGAAAAGCGTGATGCAGAAATTAGGTAAGCTGTCTTCCTTTGATTTTACGGGCAATATGTGGTAGTTTATGTTTTTTTAAATGCTTATTATGCATAAGTACCTGGTTAATCCCGTCATCTCACTTTTGCTGTAACTGTTTTTAAGTCACTTGTCCTCCTGAGTTTAATTGTCTTAAATAGACTGAAGAATATTCCATCAGAATTTCGATAAGCATTCACATGCATTATGTCATTATTATATTATTATTATTATATCCTTTAATTCCTAGAGGAACATAGGGCTTCAGCCAAGCGTCTCCATTGCCTTCGGTTCTCTGCTCATGTTTTCACATGGCTCCAAGTCTGCCCACACATGCTTTCATCTCCTCTTCACATGACCTCCTCCAAGTCACCCTCACACTGACAACCAACTCGCCACTTCCCTTTCGGGTTCCACTCGAGCTATGGCTTGTCTAGTGATGTCACTTGATGGTTTCCTCAGAGTATGGCCAGCCAACCCATCACCATTTCTTACTGCCTATTTGTTTCACAATCGGTTCCTGCTGAGTTGGTTCTCTCATTACCAGAGATCCCTGTTTCTGATCTTTTCTGACCGGCCATCTGATCTTGAGTGGTATTGAGCGAAGACAACTGTTAATGAAGGTCTGTAGTTTGTTTGAGATGCTCTTTATGACGCGCTGGCCAAGTCTCTGATCCATCCGTATAGTAGCACTGACTGACTTCACATTGGAGTTGAAGATCCGGATCTTATTTTTGATGGTGAAGAGTGCTGTTGACCTCCACACAGACTTGAGATTAATGAAAGCTTGTCTTGCTTTCCCGATCCTCGCCGGTTTGATATCCTCGTGAGTTCCGTCTGCCTGTAGTTGAAACGATGCTTCCCATTTATGGTGGCTGAATTTTGTTTGTTGTTGTGGCTGTTGCTGTTGGCCAGGAATCTGTTTTCTCTATGTCCACTTGAAGTCCTACCTTTTTTGATGCTTTTTCTGTCAACTTGTTGCTCTTCACTTGCATATCTTCCAATTTGTGGGAAATCAGACACATATCATCTGCGGAATCCAGATTGTCCTAGTCTTTTGTGTGAGTCCACATGCATTATGTCAAACCTACAAATGTGATTAAAAGATTTTTCTGATGGGACAGCCCAAAGTAAAAGTTCGATTATAAAATTACATTATTGTTCTAGACTCCTTTTTGACTTTTACCAAATAGGTTACATACTCAAAATTTCGCTGCATCTACCAATATTTCAATACTTCGGTAGCTTGACTTATGCTTTTGTAGTCAATGTTGTTCTCAGTGTAGTTTGATTTTTTGTGTACTTCTGTGTTTTCCTGTGTCTTTCATATGCCTGTCTGAGTTTCGATGTATAACTCTGCATATAACTTAGCATACAACTGCCACACTTCAAGTCCTCACATTCCATGTAGGTGAACGAAAGAGAGGAAAAACAGATTCAATAGAACTACAATTACCAAAAATATAAATGAGGAAAAATAGTTACATGGAAAACATGAAGACTTGGTGTATCTGGGAAGTTACAAAGAGTGAATACATCTGCGCCATCCAGAGCAGTTTCGAACCATATCATTAACAACTTCAAGTCATTCGCCCTTATCACCATCCCTGTGGACCCAAACGGGATAGTTTACACCTCCTTATGTGACTCGGACCAACAGTCAAAGGCTTTATGAATCGATTCCAGAATTTGGTTTGACCACCCCTAACTGTTTCTTCTCTGACCTAATCCTACTCCAGCTAATATTGCTTCATGAAAAAGGCTATCTCTAGGTAGGTATGTGTAACATGTGCCCTAGCCATTTGAATAGATGTAGCCTCACGACCTGATAGATTTACTCGACACCTTCACATCTAACACTCTACACCTACCCTAATATTACTCATCACATATCACTAATCACGGGTAATAGGAAGCAAACATATGTGGTTAAAAAAAGACAGCCTTTTCGTATCATCTGATTTCGATAACCACGCTGATGAATGAAGTCAACTGCTGTGCAGTACACACTTTGGTCGATAGTTGGATATCACGTGTACGCCAGAGGTGACGTATGTTAGCAAATGCTGCCAAACCCTATGTGTTCGTGCTTAGATTATGTCAGTAACCAGTTGATTTTGACTGATGCAACTTCCCAAATAAGTGAATCGCCATTATGCTCAACCACTTAATTTCTTATCTAGAAACTGGAAGTCCGTACAGACCAGTCCTGCGGCGCCAATTTGAGTTTGATACGGTAACAATTAATTGCTCAAAAAGTGTATCATTGCAAAATTTAAAACTCTATTTTTAAACACTATTAAAAGTTCACACCCAGAATACACACTTCTAAAATACAATCGTAATACTGTCATCAGATGTAAACCTATTTCACAGTATTAAACCCCCCACTGAAACGAATCGCTGTGCAAAATGCACATTGAGTTTGCATGCAGCTATCAAATGTTTACACAAAACATAATTGTACAATTGTGAGAACGTGAAAACAATCAATTTATTGAGAAGAAAATTCTTCCATCATAACAAACTAATAAAATTTAAATATTTGACAAACCGAAACAAACGTAAAAACTCATCTCAGCAAAATATATACAGTTTTGTGCACAAGGCAACAGCTCATACCTACTGCGTGATAGACAGCGAGCGATATGACGTGATTACTTCATTGTTTATATCAAAATTGTTTCAAAAGAACAATTAAAAATTATATACTGCATTTAGCAAGACATTTAATGTCATACACAATACATCACCAGTTCGTTCTTAGTTCTTCTGGCTGCGCGATATCGTCATTAGAACTGAGAGGCCGGAAGAGGCTATCTGTCTTTAACCACATATGTTTGCGTAGCATCCCTTGTGATTAGTGACACGATATGGTGAGTAATATTGGGGTTAGATGTGAAGGCGTCGAGTCAATCTATCAGATCGTGAGGCTACATCGATTCAGATGGCTAGGGCACATGTTACGCATACCTACCTAGAGATAGCCTTTTTCATGAAGCAATATTAGCTGGAGTAGGATTAGGTCAGAGAAGAAACAGTTAGGGGTGGTCAAACCAAATTCTGGAATCGATTCATAAAGCCTTTGACTGTTGGTCCGAGTCACATAAGGAGGTGTAAACTATCCCGTTTGGGTCCACAGGATGGTGATAAGGGCGAATGACTTGAAATTGTTAATGATATGGTTCGAAACTGCTCTGGATGGCGCAGATGTATTCACTCTCTGTAATTTCCCAGATACACTAAGTCTTCATGTTTTCCATGTTACTATTTTTCCTCATTTATATTTTTGGTAATTGTAGTTCTATTGAATCTGTTTTTCCTCTCTTTCGTTCACCTACATGGAATGTGAGGACTTGAAGTGTGGCAGTTGTATGCTAAGTTATACTTTGAAGCTTAGGTCAGCCTCTATGTTAACACGTTATTCAAGTTATTTCTTATAATAGTTCTCAGTTGTTTGTTCTGTAACTAATTTTTGCCGAATTCTGGTTTCAGCGTTTATAACATTTTGTACACAAACTTATTAGTTAGCGTGAGTATTTAGATGTATAGCCTTTCTACAGATGTATCATAAGTGTATTATCGGTAGCAGATATTCAAACCTCAGCAACCATGTGTTAGTTTTTAAATTTGATTATTTTAAATTTCATTTAGTGTTTAAAAGTTACATAATTTAATAATTTCTCCACAGATTGAGTTGTCAAGTAGAAGGTGGTGAACATGCCAATCCCCTTACAGTCCTCTGGAAATTAGAAAACTATGGTTTACCAACAGATTCTTTTGAGGACAGTATTATTATTGCTGATGGCGGTGATTTTGTTGGTTCTGCATCGTATATTGTACGTCCAAGACAACCGTTGTCTTGGTTAGATCCAGGTCCATTTGGAACATTAGGTGTTGGTGGAGGATTTGCATTAGGAGCGAAATTGTGCCGACCAGATGTAAGTTTCTATCGGTGTGTTGTTATTATGTGAAGTTTTATCAATTAACAATAGTTTTTACAACATTATGGTTCAAGAAACTGTTTATTTTTAATTTAATAGGTTTTTAAAGTTTACAAAGAGTTAAGTCAAAACTAATGAACAAATCGCGTATATATGTAACGACAGAAGGCAAGAGTCAGACGAAAGAAATCAACAGATATTTATAGATTTTAATGTTTATTATTGTAGATTATTGTTAGTGGAAAACACAGTCTTCTGATTGGTTGTTTCTCACTGAAAGTTAATTTTTCATGTCTTTGTGGCTGTTTCTTGAAGGTCGATCATCTATCTGCTAATTGTATCCGCCTACGCAAAGTCTGCTGTGATTGGTTGTTGAGTCAGTATTTGATCTTGTTTTTCACATGACCGAAATTTCGGACGTAAACATTCACGTAAATTACTGTCTGCCAACTTTAGCTAGCAGACAGCTCTCAGCATATATATATATATATATCCTTGGGCGGTCACTAAATTGGTCTGGAAAATATCAGCTCATCAAAAGCAGTTGAATTGGCTTTATATTTAGAAAAATCTCAGATAATGAATAAACTCTAAGCCCTAACTTACTGTTAAAATTCAGCTACTTGTAACATACTTTCTTCACTTGAGATACGCTTATCGTGTCAGTAGTTGTGGTACTACCAAGTTGCTCGTGTGAAATAGGTGGAGCACTACTGAAACCGGGGACTTTTCCGCTGAGAGTGAAGTGCTTAAGCTAATGAACCACGTCTGTTTGCTTAACAGTCTAGGCAGTATTCCTTCCCCTTTCCCAAAATTTCATAGCGTAGATACAAGTGTAGATTTTCTTGAATTTAGGCAAGTAAGGGGATTTGTAAATTTGATGGTGTTCAGTACTTTGCTGACGCACTGACTGACTGTAGTCAGAAATTTTATTGATTATATGAACACTATTATGTAAATGAACATAAACACATTACGCTAATGCTATCATCATTCATTGAAAACATGTTTTAGGCAGGGGTGCATTACGATTTTTGTCTCCTTCCAATATTATTTATCATAAAATACAATTTGAGCAAAGTCTATTATTGTGTCTGAAAATTTTGCTTGGCTTATTAATTTCGAATAATTACTCTCTGTTCGTTTATTTTTCTTATTCTTAAGGCAACTGTGTGGGTGATTTACGGTGACGGTTCCTGTGCTTATAGCTTGGCTGAATGGGATTCTTTAGCACGTCATCGCGCTCCTGCTATTGGCATTATTGGTAATGATGCCTGTTGGTCACAGATTGCTCGTGATCAAGTCGCTTTCTTTCAGTCTAAAGTTGGATGTCAGTTGAATTATACACCATATGAAGTAGTTGGATCAGCTTATAGTCGAAGTGTTACCAGTGGTTCAAACAGCAGCAACCACAATAATAATAATAATATAATTGCCAAAGATGATATTCCAGTCAATGGTTTTTTAGTTGATAAACCTCAATTGGAACAGATCAATCATATATTTGATGAAGTTAAACGGTTGTCCAATAAAGGCATACCGTCTATTATAAACTGTCTCATTTCAACCAGTAGCTTTAGAGAAGGCAGTTTATCTGTTTAACCCTTCTTCTTTTTTCATATGTATTATAATTCGTCACATTTTTCGCTGTATAAATTTGTTTAATGGTGAAATCTTGACGTGTATAACTTTTTCTTTTATAAATGTTATATTAATGACTCTGATAAAAAAAAGTAAACATAAATCTCTGGTTTTTATAACACACATTCATCCAATCATTGAACTTTTTTTAATATAATGATAAATCCACTATTGGTGTTACCTTTTTCTTGGTACTTTACTTCCTATCCTTGTGTTCATAAACTCATAAACCAACTTAACTACAAAAAGAAAAATGATGTGCACTTGGATAAAGTGCAACAACTCGTATAATTGGTGGTAATATCATACGGAAGCAAGTTAAAAGTATGCTAATTTTAGTGCAGTGTAATCGTTGTTCAGTGTTTATATGTACAGTGAATAAATCTTTGTGTTCGATGGATATTTTTTTCATAACCATAAGCAACTTCCTTTTGAAACTTTCTGTAGTTATAGTACTTAAGTATGAATATGAGTAATAGTGGGAATGGTATATTCTCGCGTTACCCGACCGACAACTGCTACTTTGCCGTGGTGGTCGGGCTTGAATACCGCAATGACCCAACAAGCTAAACTGGCTGGGACTCATGTCTCTGCAGGTCCTACCATGTCAGGAAGGTTGTTTGGATATCGGTTAGACTAAAAGCAGTTACTGTGGGGTGCATGGGCTCTAGAATCCAATCGGATCAAACGGCGTATGAACCCATATGGGACACCGGAAACCATGTGAATGCAGTTCCTGACGCTGCTCCGCTGCCTTGCGGATTAGACCCCAAGTCAAAGGCTCGGGGGTGGTCCCTTAATAAAACCACCTGCTTCTGTCTGAGCGCCCAGGAAGTATCTTAGCCCTCACACAATTATTGTGTGGCGCATCTTTCTTGGTGCCATATTGTACCAAGCTTTTTCTGCGTTTAAATAAATAATAAATTCTCGCGTTAGGCAAGATTAGTAAAGTTGTAGTGAAAAGAAGTATTTTTAATGCATCGCATAGAATAGAATTTTAGGTACAAAAACAAGGGAGAAAAGAATGTCTCAACTGTCTCCCAACGAACAAAAACAAAAGTTATCCGAAGTACTATTCAGAGATTTCAACAATTTAATGTTGTTAGGTAGTTAAAAAGAAACACACAACTATATTTGTATTCACAGATGCAGTACTAATGCACTTTTTTAAACCATATTTCTTAATTTATCAAGTTATTTCTCTTTTTTGATCTTATTGACTATTATTCGACTTTAAAGGTAAGAAATGGGTTTAAATTATCTTCGTCTATCGCTACTTGCGAGATAGACTTCACTTTATTTCCGAATCATCTAGTATCGTATTTTCAAGTGTTGGTTTGTAGGGATTTGATTGGCTACAGGATCTCATCATGAGATGACATTGGTTAGAGAACCATTGGAAAACCTGCAGGGAGTACTGGACAACTGTTTCGTCCTAGTTTGGGACTCTTCATCAGTACGCACCCATGGGCCATTGATCGATCTCAGTGGCTTAATGGTCTTAGAGCCCGCCTTGTAACCAGAAGATCCTGGGTTCGAACCCCGGTGGGTGCATACTGATGAAGAGTCCCAAACTAGGACGAAACGGTACTCTCAGGTTTTCCAATGGTTCTCTAACTAATGTCATCTCATGATGAAATCCTGTAATATCAGATTAGTTGCTTTTAAGGGCCGACTAGTTAATTATTACGAAAAATAGCGATTTCGTTGTTTCATTAATGCCCTCAGATTGTAGTTGGCTGCTTGCCGATTAAACCATTTTTCTAGCCCTCATATATGGGATTCATATGCCGTAATATCCTGAATGCCCTATTTTGAAATTGTAATGAGATCAATTTCATCAGCTTTATCAAATGTGTACCACTCTCACTTATATTCGTCAAATAATCGATATCATTACTACCAAGTTTTAGAATAAGTGTGTAAAATCTGGGCACTGTGCTGGCATGCAATTCTATATTAATTTGTCTGTTAGATATAACACACAGTGAAACAGTATTATTTATTGGATGACGTTTCAAAAACAGCTTATTTTTCATAATCATATCAGTTATAACCACTCAACTTCGAAATTCTCGTTTTTTATAGTTTTCCCTATTCTTTCCCATTCATTCGTCGTAGAGGTAGTAGAATTCTCCATATTTCTGGGACAGGTGTTGAATCATTCTTATTACACTTTTTTGCAGTTGATTCGATGAATAAAGCTTCCGTTATCAATATCTCTCTTCACCCTGTTGTATTAGATTTTAAAGCTGTCATCTTATCCCATCCTGTTATGAGGTTGTGTGTGCAATTGCATGTAATGCTGCTATAGCTGAACTATTCTCCAGATTTCTTATCTTATTCAGGTCAACTAATTTAGATTTTGCTAGGATTTTGTTCTGCACTAGTCTGACTGCCCCTGCTCTACTACTTTGACCTGACAATCATTGCAGGGTATATGCTTTTGGGACTCTCAAATTGAAACTGAATTTCGATAGGTTATGTCACTTTGATAGTTTGAATCAACAACTATAGCTTATTCCAGGTAATATAGTTTATCCCAATTGAAGTCTTTTCATTGTGGGTATATGTGGGCATATCAAGAAACCTGTTGACTCAAATGAGTTTGCTGATGACGAAGAATCAGAGTTGTCGTCTCTGCGCACACTACTCAACCGACATGTTAATGTCAGGGCTCATGTTAGACTATGCGTAGAGTTGACTGTGATACACCGGTGAGAGCTTTTGTTAAGCACATATCCTGTGATACCCGGTCTACCGGTTATAGTCAATGTATACTATAAGGTCGTCGTCAGCCAGGTATGACAATATCTGAAAGTTGTGAATACTCATCAGCGATGTATGAAACCTTTCATCACAGATATCTAGCAATTCATAATATATTCTTCCTGAAGTATCCAGCGTTAAACCAATTTTTGGCGTGAATACAAATTATGCGGTTGTTTTTTTATGCGCGGAAGTGAAGCTGTCTTTGAAAGCTTGTTAATTTTAAGGCAGGAAAAACAACAGCGAAATCTTCGTAATGCTCTCAGAGGCGGTCGATGATTGGGAAATGCTTAAGAAGGAGACGAAAAGGATATATATCTTCTTTGTGATTTGGAAAGTCCTTTTCCCCAAGTGAATGATGAATGTATGAGTAGATTTCCCACGCTTGACTTGCGCACCACTGGCGTATCACTATGTAACAACAGAAGACAAGGGCCAGGCAACAGATCGTTTGTTAAGGAAAATCAACACATATTTATAGATTTTAATGTACATTATTGTAGATTATTGTTAGTGGAAAACACAGTCTTCTGATTGGTTGTTTCTCACTGAAAGTTAATCCTTCATCTCTTTGTGGCTGTTTCTTGAATGTCAGGTCATCTATATGCTAACTGTATCCGCCTACGCAAAGTCTTTGTTCTTATTTTTCTCACGACCAATAATGAGGACACAGACGCTGACGTAAATTAATGTCTACCGATTTGGCTAGCAGCCAGCCCTCACCCCAACTATACGTTATATCGGTCAGCAATTTTGTGTTCATTTTAATATTATAGCGGGCTACTAAATAAGCTCTCAAAGAGGCTGAGGAAAGACCTCAATTTAATTTCAACGCCTAGAAACTAAACGATGAAACTTTGCCGAGCGGCTTCCGCATTTTCTACCTCTTTGTCTGCATGCTTTCGCATTCTTATTTTTGTGGTGATATATTTAAAATTATTTTTAAATATTACCCTTTATTTTCATATAGAGCATTGGTCTTATTTCATGAATTACCTATCCTGCGCTTAGGACAGTATCCATACTATTTCTCCTGGTGCGAATTACTGCTTGCGACATTAGAGCATGGAGTTTTCTACCCCAGATCTTTACAATACTTCTGTTTCGTTGTGTTATGTACTCGTCGCTAAATTATTGTTATGGACTGGTCGAGAAACTAATAGTCCTGACGCAAGAAGACGGAAATCAGAAGACCACTAGGTTTGCGATGATACTTCTATTTTCCAAACACAAGGAGAATGCAAAAGTGGTATCACACCAAAGTAAGTAAGTCACACAAATTGTGAATCCGAAATATATATGAATGTTCCAGACAAAGTATGTGAACAAATCATTAGACAGTCTTAACATGAATGGCTAATTATAATGAAGTATCGATCCATATATACATAGTGAAATATAGCAGACATGTCAACAACCACCATATATGGATATATGTCACCAAGCAACGGACTGTCAACAAACACTCGTATTATATATAATATAAGGGGAATATACACTGTCAAAGGAGACAGGTTCATACAAGTGAAATGGTCACAGACTAAGCGAGCAAACAGAAAGAGAGACCAACGTACACACACACATAAATATATATATATGGATACATATCACTTTGATATAGCGTTGAATGATCAACGATTCGTAAACATTCGAAGTGGCCCTATAGATGCTGTGCCAGTCATACAGAATGACAGTTAAGCAGCCCGAGTGGTGTGTCTTGTCAGCTGAAAACTTCAGCAAAATACATTAATCTAACAGGTCCATTAAGTCTAAACATGTTGGTGGAATACCCTCCCTTCTCGATTTAGTGCAGAAGCTAAACAAGCTTAGACCGATGAGTTGAAGGTGATTCTGCTAGGGATATCTACAATAGTACAACCTACGCAACTCATTCAGCGATTAATAATAATTTATATTTCGCATAAACGAGTACTTTTACATGAAATAAACTTCATTTCTACGGGCAAGATCAGTTAACTTCCAAGTCACTCTGAATTTGAAGGTTTAAACCTGTATATAGCTTCACCATAATTATAGATTTATATTTACTTACAGATGTTGTTTATCACTTTCACTACTGACAACACAACGTCTAGGCCTTGCTTTAGTTAAAATTCACGTGGCTTCACATGGACTTTTACTGCTTCTGAAATGTAAAGGAAATATTATGGTATCACAGAGGTTACAATAAG